AAAAAAAAAAAAAAAAAAAGCAAATCTAATATGAGAAAGGTGGCTGAATATATTGTTAACTGAAAAAGTTTGTTTACATGGAAGTATGATAGACTATTATAAAATCTTAGGGAGTAATCATTAATTTATGGCAGTGCCGTGAACTGGACACTTGGGAAAGTTGTCCCACTAGGAATAACAAAATAATACTAGCTATAATGTCCATATAGCTCATCGTAAATATATCTAAGTTCAGGAGAAATGAGTGGAGTTCTCAGAAGCACAAATTTAAAGATAAGTAGGAGTCCTGAGACGGAAGTGAACTCTGGTATCACTTAATTGCCCATCTCAGGTGTCCCCGAGCTTCAGTTCTGATAGACGGGAGACAGAGAATGGACCCTGTCCATAGGGGGGCTCCTAACAGGAACCCCTGCCTGTGTCTCTGTACCCAAGAATTCGCATTCTCACAGAAAAGGTGAATTTGAAAAAATAATCACCCACACAAGAGTCAGCAAGAAATCCCAGCCGAGATTTTATAACCAGAAACAATTACATCTGCCGACATAATTCAAGCCATCAATTTTCCTAAAACCCTCCGAAGGATCACTTATTGGGAGGTTGGTAGTGACTTCAGGCAGCCGCAGAGGCAAACACACACTCTCCCCTGGAGAAATACAATTTAAACCCAGGCTTCAGGACAAGTTTTCTCTAAATGAGTTAACAATAAAAAATTCAACAACAAAAAAAAATCACTAACAAACAAGAAATAAGCCATCCTAAGCATGAGTCCACAGTAATAATAGCAAATCTGGCCCCTGAGAGAATCAGAAAGTAAAATGAATACTCAGGGCATCATTCTCAGTCCTCGAGGTTTCAAGCTACCCTTCCCAGAGGCGATGCTCTCACGAAGTCCTCATTCGTCTTCAAAAGGCAAAACGACAGAAATCACATTATGTGGCAAATTTACCTCCTAGAGGATCTCCATATGCCCACATTCATTTGAGCCTTAGCTGCTGATTAACCCGGCTGCAGCGATCACCTCTGTTTTGTTTGCCTTAGAGACAGAATTTAGAACACAAGCAAGTTCTGCTGTGGGCTGGGCCACGACAGCTCCAACTTTTCCACGGAGCTCGGCATCTCACGTCTCCAGCAGCGTCCCAAGTGACCTTAAGATGCAAGCCCCGGATAAGACAGGTTTCGGATCCATGACTCGGAGGTCGCCAGAACTCTTCAGTTCTCTAATAGAACAGTCAGAGCCAACACTGCAACAAGTGGCCTGACTCGGGAGGGGGCAGGAGCAATAGGTGGGATATAGGTTTTCCTGATGACTAAATTCTCCTGAGGGGAATTGCTAGTCTAATATTATTATTTGGATTTAAATCATTTAAGTAAGAACATTGTCACTTTCTCTTTAAATGCAAGGTATGAATAATCTATTAGTGTGTAGGCAAGGTTGTCTGGGTACCAAATTTTTGGATCAAAATTATTTAAAGTTTTTTAAGCAAAATTATTAAAGTGTATTATTTGAGGAGGGGCTTTATTCATTACAGCTAAATATTAGTTAATAGAAACAGCACATTTGGAAGGTCACACAAATATTTTTCTTTTTCTCTTCTTTACTTACTGTTATGATATTTTAAGTTTAATCATGTGCACCAAGGTTATTCAACCTCTCTCAGATCCAGGGTGAAACTAATTTAGCCCATGGGATATTTTGGGGAATTAGGTGAGCTATTTCATGTTACCGCTCGGTACCTAATAGCCGTTCAACAGAACACTCATTTTAGTGTTCTTCGAGTAGATTTCACTATGAATTCCCAAGATAGTGCATCACCTTTTTTTTTTTTAAAGTGTTTCGTGTGATTTTATAACCCAAAATAAACACCATTTCTGATACCCTTGTAACTGTAGGGCAATACAGAACCGCAGAACCCCACAACCTTCATACCCAGGCCAGCCCCCCACAGAGGAAAACGCGGCACAGGCCTGCGCTCTGCTCTGCTCTACTATCACCTGGGCAGGTTCGCCTACGCGCCCTCAGTCTCGGTCTACTCACCTGTGAAATGAAGCTCATAAAAGACTCAAACGAGATAATAGATGTAAGAAGTACTTTGTAAAATACAACGCTTATTAGTAATAAAGTGCCCTCAGGAGATAACGTCGTCTATGCTCTGTGCCTAGCACAGTACAAGTACTCAATACACAGATGTTGAATGGAAGGGGGGGAAGGGAGAGCATTCGATAGGGCCAGTCAAGCTTCTCTTGCAGGTGCATACATGTCAGTCTATTTCTCCGTTTTTTTCTGCCATCAAGTTCTTCCTTTCCTTTCCTTCGAATTTTTACTTCTGGGTTCCTCAAAACTCCAAATACCGAAGCAGCTTAGAAACGAAGAGGCTGCTGGGAGAGCGATGCCTTGGCACCCAGAGTGAGAACACTTCAGATTTAGGAAGATCTTCAGTTGACAGTGGCAGGCTGCTGCTGTGCAATGTATCTGACCCCTAGAAGCCAAGAGGCCATATCCTTCATTTTACCACCTAGGTCCTGAGCTACTACTTGAAAGTCTTGCTTTTCTGGATTTTTTTCAAGTTCTGTGGCTCTAGAGCAGAGTTTCTCCACCCGAAGGAAAGCGATCACACTTTTCTGAGTGCATGCTTTGTTCCAAGCCTCTGTTCCTACGGTCCCTAATTCTTTACGTATTTGGGTCTTTCCCAGCTATCTTTCTTTATTGATTTCTAGTTCAACTCCACTGTGGTTGGACAGAATACTTTGCATGATTTCTATTCTTTCAAAAAATTTAAGGTGTGTTTTATGAGCCAGAATGTGTTCTATCTTGGCCAGTGCTCCATGTGAACTTGAGAAGAATATCTATTCTGCTGTTGAATATTCTATAACTGTCAATTAGATCAAGTCGATTGACAGTGTGGTGCAGGCCAACCGTGTCCTCACTGACTTTCTGCCTGTTTTGTCTGTCAATTCCTGGAAAAGCAGTGGTATGTAGGAGCCCGGTTGTAACAGCATATTTGCCCTTTTCGCGGTTCCATCTGCTTTTGCTTTATGTATTTTAATGCTCTGTTGTTAGCTGCATGTCTTCTTGGATAACTGACCCCTTTATCATTATATAATGTCCATCTTTATCTCTGAAAAAATCTCCTTGTTCTAGAGTCTGCTTTGAAATTAATAGAGCTACTGCAGCTTTCTTTTGATTGGTGTTAGCGTGGCATAGCATTCTTCATCCCTTCACGTTTCCCCTAAGTCCTTAATTTAAAGTGGATTTCTTATAGACATTGGATAGTTGGGCCTTGTTTTATTACCCACTCTGATGGTCTCTGTTTTTTATTGGTGTGTTTAGACCCTTCAGATTTAAAATGATTATTGATATAGTTGCTTTAATGCCTGCCACGTTTTTCACTGTTTTATATTTGTTGCATTTGGCTATTTTTGTTTCTTTTTGATGCTCCATTACATTCTCACAAAAACCCCATGAGGGGAGTAGCTCGTCTTAATCCCCATTTAGAGACTGAAGAAATCAACACCACTGAAATTAAGCGACTTAGTTAAGGTTACACAGGACAAAAATAACACAAAATAATTCGAAACTTGCCAATGTTCTTTACTTGATTAAACATTACCTCCTATATGCCCAGTGATCTCAGCAATAAAACAGACAGAGCCCCCAAACCACGTCAGACTGCGCCCTCAGAATCTCTAGAATCTATATGCCTTCCCGGCGCTTTGGTTAAGAACCTAGAATCTTTTTTCTAGTTTACCCAAAACAGCATAAATTAATAACCAGTTACTGATACGTTTTAACAAGGTTAGCATAAGAATGAGAGTAAAAGGGGGGAAATCATTTTCTGCTTCATTCACAAAGAGACCAGAAGTACCCGTGGAAACCAGGCCTGTGGTTACAGGGTGCCAGGTTTCTTAA